ATTTTTCCAGTCTGTTATACTGATACTGAACATCTAGTATGACACCTTATCATACCATTTTATTTTATTAAATTTCATGCCATTTTAATTGTTGTAGTTTTATAACATGTTTTAATACCTTGAGAAGATAATTAATAGTCTTTAATAATTCATATTTTCCAACACTTCCTTGTTTATTCTTTTCTGGGCATTCTTGCAGATTAACTGTGTACCAAAAGTATAAAACCTTGAAAAGAGAATACTGGTAGAAATTTAAAAGTTTTGGAAAGACAGTATAGTAAAGAAAAAGAAGGAATAGAATAAGTCAAAGAAAGTAGATAATATTTGTCTGTTTTAATTTGTTCCAAAAATATAGAAAGGAGTAAGTACAGAAGCAAAAAATAAACGATGAGACCATGTTCAGATGACATCAGGAAAGAGCAGTGGGAGAGCACTTGCTGTGTTCACAGCAAGAAACTTTGACCAGTTGTCCAACGGTGTAGGAAACATGAACCTCTGCCACTACTTGACACAGATGACCCCATTTGAAATGTTTTTATAATCCAAATTTCTGGGAACCCATTAATATATTCAACAGACTTTTCACCTGTTTTAGAAAACTTATGAAGGTTAAAAGGACCACATTGTATGAATTTATACTAAGGAAATAATTACTAATGTGTACCAGGATTTGGCTATACAGATGCCCATCTTTGCACTGTTTATAAACAACTGGAAGCCATACACATTCAGGATTAGGGAACTGATTTAAAAATCAATACTATGTCCAATATTAGATTATTATGCTACAATTCAAAGTGGTGTAGATGTCTTTTATTGAGACAGAAAACTTTGGTGAACTACTATTAATATAAAAGCAGATTATGAGAAAATTAGCACACTATGGCCCCAACTGAATTTTTTAAAATGCACAGACTACAGGAAAAAAATCTGAAATTATGAGAATACCAAAATGTTCTTAGTGGTCATCAGACTTGTAAAATTTTGAGCAATCTTTATTTTCCTCTTTTAGCTTTTTTTAATGGTTTCCTCCTGAAAAATAATTACCATGATTTATTTATGTAATAATAAGAAAAAGCTGTGCAAGTTGTCATTTTCAGAGTTAAAGCCTCAACTCTGCAGGGGAGGAGTTCACAGGGATTAGCGTACGCTTCCTCGGAGGAAAGGTTGTATTTATTTTATTTATAAAAGAAATAGTAAGTACAGAAGACACTGCTGTACCTTTTACAAATATTAAAAAGATATTGTGAAAAATAAGGAAAGGAAGTTCTGGAGCATTCTTGGAAGATGGCATCCTGAGTACATGTCTCTGGGTTGCCCGATCACTAAGAGAGCCACCACTAGGGCTTGGAGTGAGCCTGGATCCATCTGGGCCTCATGTCCTCTAGGAAGAAACTGTGAATGTGAGGAAGTGGAGGTAAGAGACTATGATCTTTTCATAACTTCTCTAATTGTTTCAGACATCTATTACTTTTAATTAAAAATTTTTATTGGGAATCCATAATGTTAGAATTATAAAACAGCTCAGTTGTGTAAGGGTATTATATGCAGTGAATCATAAATATGCTTATTGCCTTGGACCAATAATCCACTATTAAAACAAAGTTCAAGAATAATCATTAAAAAAATTTACTATGCACAAAGATGCAAATAATTACTATATTAAAATAACCACAAAGGAAAGTATCTAAATTCTCAAGAGTTAGGAAATAATTAAATATTTAAGCTACCAATTCAGTGGCCTATTATAAGGCCATTGAAATAAATATTAAAACTCTGAAGCATGAAAAGTATAATAATGTTTAAAAAATGTTTAAATCAAAGATTTATACTATGATGAAACATAGGTTTCAGTATTGATGTCATACAAGGAGCAAGTTAGATAAAGGATCATCGGGGTTGTACATGCACAAGTGTATATGTGTGTGCATGTGTTTGAGCTTGGTGTTTCTTTTGGTAAAGTTCTTGAATGAGTAAAATTACCTTTGAAAAAATATGAGATGTTAATGGCCACAATAAATTTATAATCTGAGATCAGAAAGAGGAAATGAGAGAAAAAGAAAAGAGTTAAGGAAGAAGATGGAAAACATACTGCTGATTTTTCTTTTTACAGTCTTTCACACACATACACACACACACACACACACAGAGAAATAAAGAAAGCAAAAGGAGGAAGGATAGAAGAAAGGAAAGAATGAAGGAAGGAAGGAGAAAGAGTAAGAAGGGAGGGTGGAAGAGAGAATAAAGAAGTAAAGAAAGGAATCTGGGTGTTCATGAGAAAGGGGGAAAGACAAGCATAAACTATTTTTTAAGAGATTGTCATGTTATAGAAACCAGACAAAACAGTACAAAAGAAAGACAGAAAGAAAGAAAAGAAAAGAAAAGAAAACTACAGGCCACTATCTCTCATGAACTGAGATGCAAAAAATCCTCAACAAAATATTAGTAAAACAAATTTAACAATGTATAAAAAGAATTATACATCATGATCAAATGAGATTTATTCCAGGGATGAAAGGCTGGTTCAACATTTAAATCAATAAATGTAATCCATCACAACATGTTAAAAAGAAAAAGCTTATGATTATATCTACTGATGCAGAAAAAACACTGGACAAAATCCAACACCCATTCATAATTAAAATTCTCAGCAAATTAGAAATAGAGGGATATTCCTCAACTTGATAAGAAGTATCTACCAGGGGAACCTGGATGGCTCAGTCATTAAGTGTCTGCCTTTGGCTCAGGTCATGATCCCAGGGTCCTGGGATCGAGCCCCTCATCGGGCTCCCTGCTCCATGGGAAGCCTGCTTCTCCCTCTTCCACTCCCCCTGCTGTGTTCCCTCTCTCGCTGTGTCTCTCTCTGTCAAATAAATAAAATATTTTTTAAAAAAAGAAGTATCTACCAAAAACCTATAGCTAACATTTAGCTTAATAGTGAAAGACTTTCCTTTAGATCAGGAACAATGCAAGGATATCTGTTGTCACTACTATCATTCAACACAGTGCTGGACATTAGAGCCAGTGTAATAAGGCAAGAAAAAGAAATAAAAGAAGTAAAATATTATCTACATAGAAACTCCCAAGGAATCTATAACAACACTTGTAGGACCAATAAGTATGTTGAGTTTTGCAAAGTTGCTGATACAAGGTGTACACATAAAAATCAACTGCATTTCTACAAACAAGTAATACCATTGGGAACCAAAATTTTTAAAAGTACCATTTACAAAAGCTCCAAATAACTGAAATATTTAGGTATAAATGTAACAAAGCATGTATAGGATCTGTATACTTAAAATAACAATCAAGATACCTACTAGCAGGTAAGTAACTTCCATAATTCAGCTAATTATCTGTTAGCCAGATATAAAGCTAATAAAATTTCAATAAAAACTATAGTATTATTCAGAGTAATAAACACATTCCTCTACTAAATTGCACCAAGTTGTTGGACCATATCTCATCAAAGCATATCTTTTTATACTCATATTTTTTTTAAAAAAAGATTTATTTGTTTATGAGAGAGAGTGTGAGCAGGGGCAAGGGGTGGGGAGGGACAGAGGGAGAGGGGGAGAAAGAATCTCCAGCACACTCCCCTCTGAGTGAGGAGCCCGATATGGGGCTTAATCCCAAGAACCTGAGATCTTGACTGGAGCTGAAATCAAGAGTCAGATGCTTAACCAACTGAGCTACCCAGGCACCCCTTTTTATACTCATATTTTAAAGTACTTAATAGATTATTTAAAAACAAAAATTGTTGGGGCGCCTGGGTGGCTCAGTTGGCTAAGCGACTGCCTTCAGCTCAGGTCATGATCCTGGAGTCCCAGGATCGAGTCCCACGTCGGGCTCCCTGCTCAGCAGGGAGTCTGCCTCTCTCTCTGACCCTCCCCCCCTCATGCTCTCTATCTCATTCTCTCTCTCAATTAAATAAAATCTTTAAAAAAAACAAACAAAAAACCCCACAAAAATTGTTAAAATCCCACTAAAACTAAATGCTATAATTTATGTAAGATCTGCTAAATAAACTATGTCTCCTTTAGATGTAGCAAGTTGCAATTTTTATAAAATTTGGATTTTTTGTTTCTTTTGTGTTCTACTACTAAAAATTTTCCTTGGTTTGAATCCAAGCCATCTCAAACTGTGTGTAAAAAAGCTAGTAAGAGTTGAGGGCTGACTAAATGTGATCTATCTGGATAATGCAGGCCCTACGTCAAGCCATTTTGAAAAAAATATTTTGTTCTGCATGGTTTGCCAAATATTAAATTGAAAGTTAGCCACATGCACATAACTTTTATGGAGCACTTGAGAATTTTCTCCTACTTTGCTCATAGAAAGGACCTCTCGGGCGCCTGGGTGGCTCAGTTGGTTAAGCGACTGCCTTCGGCTCAGGTCATGATCCTGGAGTCCCGGGACTGAGTCCCACATTGGGCTCCCTGCTCAGCAGGGAGTTTGCTTCTCCCTCTCCTGCTCCCCCCTCTTGTGCTCTTTCTCTCTCTCACTCTCTCTCTCAAATAAATAAATAAAATCTTTAAAAAAAAAAAAAAAAAAGAAAGGACTTCTCTCCCTCACTCAGTGCTGATTGCTAATATCAGTTGCTATTATCCATAGCATTTCTGCTTGATTTCTATAGGATTATACGAATTCTGATATGCAATCACATAGCCAGAATAATTATTAAAGGGTTATATTTTAGCTAAAATAGTCGTCAACAGATAAATATCCATATTAATAAGATGCTGCTGCACAACTCTTATTAGTAAACTGTTCCAGCATCATTAGTGTTTCATGGAACTTAAGGAATTATCTAATAATATATGGGCATTATATGTACTCTTTTTCCTTCAAAGTTGATTATTTTTTTCTCTTTTTGATTGATTTTTAATTTAAATTCATTTAATTAACATATAATGTATTATTGGTTTCAGAGGTAGAGTTCAGTGATTCATCAGTCTTATATAATACCCAGTGCTCATTTTTAAAACCAAACCAAAGCTCACCAAAATTTTAACTGGCTTCAGCACTTTTCTAGTAATGATACCAGGGGCTCTTAAACGAATGGCTTCCAAAATACACCACTTGATTAGTGGGAGTTTCTTCAAGTCATCCTCAGATACTTTCATCTTATCTCTACCTGTAAAGAGAATTCCAAAAAATTTTTAAAAGGTGCACTTAAAGAAGCCAGAAAGTGATTTCATGGAAGATCATCAACCCACAGATTAGAAGCTGCCTCTGACAACAAATGTTAGCATTGCTATTACTTTTTGCATACCAAGTTTAGTAACTGAGTGACTCTTTTTATCATTTTCCTCTTACCAAGATCAAATGTATGGCCCCCCAAATTAAACCATGGTTGATTATTTCAAGGTGATGGACTGGGATCCAACCTTGGTCTTCACCTTCCTACGGCTATCAAATGATTAAGATAGGGTCCATCAGAAAAGTGTTCAATTTTCACTCCTTTCATTCTTTCTTGTCCAAATTCTTCTTCTACTTAAGGAAACAGTGATAAAAGATTGGCATCAAAAGCATAAAGTAAAAGATCTGAGAAGCCATCTGCCTTACTACTTCTACCTCTTCCCTGATGATTCATTTTTATTTTTGCTTTTGATTTTTCAACCATACATCTCAGAAGGCCCAAAAAGAACATGAGGAAAGGGACAATGGGGCACATGTATTACATCTGGAATGATGAGTTCTCCCTCTAAACATAGGTGTATCAAACACTCCTAATGTAATATGCATACTTCAGCTTATGTTTAGATTGAAGGCACCTGAAAAAGGATTGGGGTGAATCTTTTTAGGACCCAAAATATGGTTAGGGTCTTTCAGTCCAATTAGACATTTCAGTTAATGGTATTTCAAATGAAATGTTTGCATTTTGAAAATTATTTAAAACAACTCAGCTTTCAATTTGATTTTGACAGTATTTGCTTAATAAAAGTCAACAACATTGTCAGTTTAGTTAAGTCAACTTTCACATTTGCTTCCCAACTGTATTGGGAATGAATGGGTTAAGAGTGAAATGTAAGGTCTCCAGGCATGTCTCTCTTACACTCTGGATAAGGCTAGTTCTAAAGCAAGCCCAACCTACAGGAGAGGTCTAGGTGGGTGCTGCCTGGGAAATCTTATCTGTCAGTACATATGGAATTCCTGAGCAGTCAGAAGCAAATGTCTTTGGTGGAATCTGGGAACCAGGCTTTTTGAGCTATAGTTCTGTTAGTACCCATAGGGGCATCTATACATTCCATTCGACTTGACAGATTCTTGAGCTCTGAATAAGGGCCAGGAGTTGAGTTAGGCTCTACTAGAGTTACAACAATTAAGGCATTCTTGCAATATACTTAGTCTACTAGAAGGTAAGAGACAAGCACACGGTTAACTGGTACACCACACAAGCAAGGAAACTGTTCTGTGACATGTAAACTATTCCAGTATTTTGTTCTAATATAAAAGCAGGGAGGTTCATGACCAACTAAAGGAAAAACAAAAAATTCTGTGAGTGTCTTCCTCTAAAACTATAACTATAATTAGTTCTTTGCAGAGAGTAGACATTAGTAAATAAATATTGAATTAACAAATGGTCCAGCTTCAACATGGGGAGATAAATGAGTGCATATTCCAGGCAAAGGAAAGAGGAAGAGTAAAAGGAAGACTGCAGAAAGCATGGGTATGTTCAGAAAATGGTAATGGGTGTAGAGGGCCTAGAAGGTGAGGTAAATGTGATGGAACAGTGAGAGATCCACTGAGGCCATTATAGGCCACCTTCAAGGCCATTCTGGAAAATGTGGAGACCAGGGAATTTGGGGACTTCCTGTCTTGGGCTAAGAGAGGATGAAAACTTCAACAATGAAATAGTGATACACAGCATTGTTCTTTTTTTTTTTTTTTTAAGATTTATTTATTTATTTGAGAGAGAGAAAGACAGAGAGACAGAGAGAGAGTGGCATGGAGGGGCAGAGGGAAAGGGAGAGAGAGTTCCAAGCAGACTCTTCACTGAGCACAGAGCCCAACAAGGGCTCGATCTCACAACCCTGAGATCACGACCTGAGCTGAAACGAAGAGTTGGACACTCAACTGATTGCACTACCCAGGCACCCCCACAGCACTGTTCTTTATTAAGACCTTCTGCTTATTTGCTCAGACCTAAGTAACCTAATATTAAAGAGAGACAAATGTGGACTACTTGCTTAACCTTCACAGACAGTGTCTCGCAAAACTGTTGCTTTTGCTTTTCCATTACAAGGACTGGAAAATAATAGGTATGCCTTTTGCATCTTCACAACCTAAATATAACAGTTTTTCCAAATTGTGCTCTATGAAAGAACATTTTCAAGATGTCAAATGTTTAAAGCAGACGAAAGGTTTTATGGCCAACCAAATACCAGGAAATGTTAATATTCTGTTGGTGATTCACTGAACACATTAGCATATTACAGGTTTTGAGAAATCCTGTAGTAGAGACAGCTATTTATGCCAACGTTCCCAAACTTTTTAAAACTCCCATTATCTATACAGGCATCATCAATAGCTATTTAACAAGGACATAAAAGATAATTAGCTATATAAAGTAATGGCTATGGATCCTAAGACAATCTTTCAAAAAAAACCCAAAAACCAAAAAACAAACAAACCCTGGTTTTCATTTGTCTGAGCATTACCAGCACATACCATATGCCTGAGTGTGCCTGTGGAAAATCCTCTAACAAGCAGTTATTGCAAGCCAAAGGCATTATTACCATCAGAAAACTATCTCGATATGCCATGGAAAGCTAATGGCACCAAAATTGTACTTCTTTACTCTTTTTTTGAAGTATCCCTGTACTTTCTAAGCTAATTCAGAAAAAATAATTTAGAAAATCCATGGTCGGAATTAGAAATTCTTTATTTGAAAAAAGGACTGAAATTGTTGCAAATGCCAGAGATATCACTACTAAATCAAATGAACAAATATCTTTTTGGCATTTAGTGGAGAGCAAAGTGCTAACTAAGCATCGCAGGGGATATAAGAAACTAAAGGCAAGGAAGGGTAAGTGCTTTCCCCAGACAGTGTTAAAATGAGGAATTCTGAGGTTCTAATTTATGAGTTTATAAATGATGCACAAACTTACAGCACTAACATGTGGTAGGTGTTCAGTACAAGGTAGTATCTATTACTGTTACCATTATTATTAGTGTGAATTTAGTAATAACTCTAGAAACCACACCCTCCTGATCAACTTTTGTTTTATAGCTGATAAAATGATTCTTTTCCCTGAAACCTCAGTTGGGAGAAAAGCTACAGTTTGAGAGCCTATCCAATACTAATTGGATACCATGCCTGAGGAAGTCTTTCAATCATTCACCCAGCAGATATTTACTGAGAACCTCTGAGCAGTGTCCAAGTGCTGAGGATGAAGATGAATGGAAGAGCCCTGGCTCTTAAGGAGTTTATAGTCTGATAGAGAAGGCAAAGAACTAAAAGTAGTTAATATGGGGTAAGGGTTACTGCACTGAGGCACACAATGTGCTATGGGGCACAGTGGTGACAATGACCAGACTGGGGTCGGTGGGGATGGGTGGTTGCGAAGGAGATGTCAGAGAGGCTTCCAGAAGAAGTAAAACCAGAACAAAGGATTGGATACACCAAAGTGAAGGACATGTTCACAGAAGAGGAATTCAGCTAGCTGGAATAGAGTTCAGTGCAGGAAGTCACTAGATCAACTAGATCAGTGTTCCACTGAAGTCCCAGGCTGCCCATACCAGCTGAAGCCAGAGCTAGTGAGAGATGGCTCCTTTATCCAACCTCTGAGTGTGACCCAGGAGTGCCTAGGTTTCATTTCTGGGCCTTCTCTTCTCTAGGTAGATTCTTTTTCTTGAGGATTCAAACAAATGCTTTTCTATAAAATACCACCAACAGGCTGGTCATACCAAGAATTTTATCTTCTGCCTTTGATCACCTTTCTGAGATCCATCTTATGTTTATCCAACTGGCTTCTTGATAGCACTGCTTGGATGTCTAAAAGACATCTTGAAGCATGCTTTGGCCAACATTGAACTCTTCATTTTCCCCACCAGAATAAAGCCTTTCCTCCCTTGGTCTTGCTATCACTGCAAATGGTAGCAAAATTTGTCCAGTTGCTCAAGCCCAAGTCATCTATGATTCATCCCTTTCCCTTTTACTCCCATTTAATTAATCACCAAAACCTGTTGTTTCTATCTGCCAAATAGATCTTACTGCCATTCACATCACTCCATCTCCATAGCTATCACTCTTGTCCAAATGCACCATCATTTTTCAGCTGGCCCATGGTGATAGCCCCCATCACGCTCCTTGCTCCCACCTGGCTCTGCTATCATCCTTACGTAAATCAGACCAGGTCAGTACCCTGTGCAGATCCCATTGAAGGCTTCAATGCTATTTAGAATTAAATCCAAAATTCTTACTTTGGCAAATGAGACCCCCATCTAACACTCTAATCTCATCTCATACTGAATCCTGGGGGCTGTGTGACCTTTTTATAAATGATCCAACCTCTTTGTGCTTCAGTTTGCTCACCTACAAAATAGGAATAATGAAAGTATCTGCCCTATATGGTTGTTGTGAAGATTAAAAAAGTTAATACATGTAAAGTTCTTACAACTATGACTGGCATATGGCCAAAACTCAGTAAATGTAACCATCATCATTATTATTATTTCTTCTGCCTTATTCCAACTGTTTGAAAGGCTAGCTCCTTCTTATCCTTCAGACCTCTGCTAAAATATTTTCTCCTCAGGAAGCCCTTCCCTTACCAGCTAATGTCTCCCAAATCACTAGCATGCTGTTTTGTTTCCTTTAGATTTCCTGTTAATATATGAAATAATTTGGCTTATTGTTGATTGTTGGATATGATGTCATATTTTTCACAATCTTGTTCTTTCTATTTTTTGATGTATCCTTAGTATCCAGCACACTGTCTGGCACGTGGTAGGTACTTGATAAATTTTTATTGAATGAGTAAATGGATAAACGTCTAAAATAGTGGAGGGAGAAATCAAGAAGTTTTTATTTTGTGTAACAACAATGGGAGGGATGCAGAGGAGAAGTCAAATTTTAGAGACATTTCTGAGGGAGAATGTGAGAATCTTTAAATAAATAAGAATTTACTGAGA